CCAGCCCCGCTCCCCCGCTCGGGCCCCGCCCCCCTACTGGGCAGCGCCTGTGCGAAAACGGGAGATTTCTTTATTACTATTGCTGGTGACAAAATCACGTTTATACAAATACATCCTCACCCGGGCACCGCGCCGCGGGGGGCAGAGGGGCCGCCGGCACCGTGCTGGCACCAGAGAGGGAGCCGGCGACGCCAGAACCCCAGGCACAGCTCCCACGGGCCAGGGGAGGAACGCCCGAACGGGACAGCACGGAGGAGGTTGACGCGCCAGCAGCCCAAAGGCCACACGGAGATATACAAATACGAGTCCTGCAACAGCACGGAGATCCAGGCAGACAGAGATGGCGTTTGCTGGTGTTCGTTTTTCCGAGGAGGAGGTGATGATTCTGCCAGGCAGCCGTCCCTTTGCCTTGCCCTCGCCATAACGCTACAGCAAGATGGCAGTGCTTGAGTCCAAGGCTTACACTCGGTACCGGGCCACCCTCTAGGGTAGCACGAGGCTCGGTAGCTCGATGTGACAGGACAAGCAGGGCAGAAGGCAAACACCAAGAAACAGGTGAAGAGGATGTAATGAAACACAGAGCTGAGAAGTAGAGTTACCATGTTTGGACGTTACTGATTCACCATTACCACCTTCCTCATTCATTTCTGCCTTCTAAACACTTGTTTTATTCTTCCTGAACCCTCGGATAAGTGGAATAAACATCCTCAAGCACCACAGAGGAGGCTGCTGCTGCTTCTCTACAGCAAAAGAGATTGAAAATCCTAAGGAAAACACACAAAGGAAGATACTTCCTACCAAAACAGAGGACAAGGACAGCAGTACCCAGTCCATACGACAAGAGATGACCTTCCTTCACTAGGTGCAGTATGTATTCCTCAGTCAATCATGAAAATAGCTGTCCAGGAAGCTTGGATCCAAAACACTCACCTCAAAAATGTGAAAAAGAGGTCCTGGTCCTAATAGGACAAATACTGGAAAGATTTAGCATGAGTTTGTGGGTTTGGTCCCTTTTTTTGTTAGAACACAGTATGATCCCAATTATTTTCTCTTTACAACTCCGTACACAGCCTGGGAGAATATGTCTGCACAGACACCTTTTTCCTTGTTCAAACTTTAACTGACCGAAAGCATCTCCCGTGTGTTCAGCATCCAGCTAGGACAGATCATCCATCCCACAAGGATGAGCTCTCATTGGAATATCTTCCTAGCTCACTGGCATGAGTAGCCTTGACCCATCATTAAAGCATCAGAGCACATAATCCAGAAGGAAGATGCTCTGTTAAACCATGTTTACCAAGGACATCATCCCTGCCACAAAGAGAAGACACTTTACAGAAAGCATCTAAGAGAAAAGGAACCTTAGGGAAGTGGCCAAAGTGGGGACAGGAGTTTGGAAATCCCTGACTTTCTGGATTAAAATCAATTTTTTCAGTGCTAGGTTGCCCTCTTGTAGGGACTCTTTTTTCTGCAGCATGCTTTTTGGGCAAGACCTGCTAATCTGGCAAAGTAAACAAATTCAGCTAGGATCCAAGGGGTGCTACGGCTGCCCGCAAGTCTTCCGATTTTCCTCCAGTCTTCCTTTTCTTATTGCTGAATAGCTGATATATTCACCAGTGGGAAAGCAACTGCTTCAATGCTTTTTTTCCTCATCACTACTGGCAGAGGTAATGACTAAAGACAGGAATACATTTTCCTATAAGCATCAAATGCCTCAGTTACATTTGGCAAAGTGCTCTCTTGCTGTCAGTTGCATTCTGCAAAGCAGCGGCAGATGGCACCCACACCCCTACAAACACCCCGACGGCGCAGAGCTGCACGCTGGCCGCTACAAACAGCTCACGCAAGTTGGCCTTTGCCCGTACAGTAATTTCTGCTGCTCACTCTGGCAACAGTCCATCCTCCTTTTAAGAACCTTTACACAGTGACATAGAAAACAGACGGGAATCATCACACCCATAAAAGCAAGAGGTTGCCTCATACAGAAAATGAGATAAAAGTAACATTTAAAGGCACCTGTGTTTATACTACATACAAATTCAGCTCAATATGCTACAGTTTCCCAGGGAATAACAGCAGGCTCTTCAGACCCTATCTGAGCATCTCTGAACATTTCAGGATGAAAAACACACTCCAGGCCTTGTCACAAGTAACTACCTGTTCCTCCATCAAAACAAATGTTTCCCACCTCAACGGCATGGCACAAGGCCTTCTGAAGACACTACAAGAGGTAGCTCAAGCTCCACCTTACAAGCAGGTTTAACTAATTCTGAAATAACCAAACAAGATTGCCTAAGTGCCTTTGGAGATGCTGGAGGGGATTGATGGTAGCAGAATTGCTCTTCATCTTTCAACCACACAGACCTTGCCCCTCCACATTCCCAAGACATTTGTTGTGGTTGCTAATGATTAATGCTCCACCCAGAACAGGTCATTTGTTGTGGTTAATCATAATTAAATATCTTCCCAAGAGCTGGAGATTCTTTCATGGCTGCCACCCCACATACTCTCACTGCTTACCCTGATGCCAACTGATCTTCTACGCCAAAAAGTTAACGTCATTAATCTGCAAGGTAAAGGCAGTGGTTTCCTATTGCTGTCTACGCATTAACAGGCTCCAAGGCTGCGACACCCATGGCACTTAATCCTGCTAAAGCAAGAACTATGTCAAATCTTACTTAACACAACAGGTAACCAACTGTATCCACCAAGGAGTTAGGTTTCAAATGTCTCAAGGAACAAATGGAACTAATACTAGCAAATGTCTCTAGTCTAGATACAACCTAACTCCCATGTACAAGAGACACTACTGACCAGCCCAGAGAAGGGACAGGAAAAATGCCAGTCTTGAGAGCCAGCAAATTAAGCAGAAAAGGGTTGTGTTAGCTGAGATTTTGCACGGTCAGGAGCTGGGCCCCAGCATGGCTGCTGGGAAGACATGGGTCACCTCTTCCCACTGCATGATGCTATTTGCTATCGCCAGATCCCAAATGCAGCTCTGAAACACAGCCCCTGGTCTGGTGGTAACTAACTTGGTAGAAGAACTTCCTAAACCATAAATAAGCAGCTACGTAAGCAAAGCAGCAATGAGAGCTCAATTAAAAAGACAGCCATGTCAATTCTCACTGTAAGAATCTCACTCTGTAACACTGAGTGATTTGACCTGGGGAGCTTTTAGCTACTAATATCCCAACTGAAACAAGCAAATGAGCTGGTAACACCACTGTCTCTCCTTGCAGCACCTCTGACAGACCATTCAGGTTTAAAAGTATAAAGATTGAAGCCTAGGAAGCTCTGCTTCCTACACACTTTTCAACTGATTTTCCACATTCTCCCTTTTCCCTCTAGGCCTCACTAGACTGACACCTCCCCTTCACCCCAACTAGACTGACAATGTGCTGTCGATCTAAACAGCAATATATTCTGTAGCAAGACCCAAAATTCCTACATAAAGGGAAGCAGGAGAAATGGTTAATACAGTGAGATTAACTTCAGCTCTAAGGTCGACCCCTGACCTCCATAATTCAACAATTTGCTCACAAGAGCTCAAATAGAAATGCCATCAGACTGACTTGATGACCAACCTGGATAAAGCCCCTTTTTCCTGCCTATCTCACATCTCTAGTGAAATCTCTGGAGAGACACAGATTAAACTGTTCTCAGGGGCAGCTCAGGCCCCTGGAGGCAGAAGGAAGATTCCTGCACTGCTTAGAAGCTGAATTAGTCTCTTATCTTTCCCACTGGAGAATATTGGGATGCACCCTAAAAAGCAATGCTCAGCCCTCTCAGCCATGCTACAAACTAAACCACTAAAGAGATGATCCATCCAACTGAAGAAGAAATCTGCTCTTCAGGCGTCGCTGGCTAACTGAAGGGGGAAAAAACTTTCCTGCTAAGAAAGAGCTTACCCAAACTATGTGACCTCTTGAAAGAGGGTAGTCACCCAAAAGGTGACACATCAGAAGCACTAAAAGTGCAACCTCGCTATAAAGACTGTAACAGCAATAATTTTCTAACAGTGCCTCTGATCCATGACCTAACCAAGGAACCAGAAGGTAACCAGAAACAGAAAATGAGAGGCAGGATATGTTGAGTGTCAGATAGAAAAGTGTTGCAGGGAGATTTCCTTTACTTTCATGAGCTGTCATCCTTGCTTCATGTTTTCAGCCTCGTGCAAGAAGAAAAGGTTTGGCAAGAAGCCTTGTTGCACGAGACAGCAACTCCAGTCCGCTCCTGGACATCTGGAACGGTTAACGGCATCACAGCATCCAGTGGACATAGAATGATTACTGTCCTCCATTGTAAGCATAGTCGGCCTTGTTGTGCATAATCAACTTGTTGTCCACAAAGTAAAAGCTGTCTGAGCGGGTCTCGTATGGATTTTCAACCATCAGACGGACTGTGAAAGAGAAAGCTCAATTACATTCAAAAGCCTGCCACACTCCACTGGGCAGCACAAACTCAGAGTAAAAAGGACTCTGCCACTTTGCTGGATTTACCAAGCTGATGCTCTGCCCTACCCAAGTAAAAGAAGCAAACTGCTCTGCTGAGCGTGCTTCAATAGCTCTAGCCTGCCACTTCCTATTCTTCTTACAGGACAAGTGCTGTCAAAAGCAAACAAAGAGGGATGGAGTAATCTCACACAAGACGACCTTAGAAACTGCCAGAGCCACCACTAGAGCAGAGCAGCAATCACATCTGCAAGCAGAGAGGTAGCAATCTGCAAACGAAAAAGTGGTGGCACTCCCCACACGTACACAGGCGGGGTACAAACTCTGCACCCAGGCAGCCACAGAAGGGCCTATGTGCTCTGCCCCATCCCCTGAGGTTAAACATACCCTGTGCAATATATATTTGCAGAGATCTTGGTAGGCTCAAAACCACACCTCTCAGAGAAGAGACAGTTCTGTCCCAAAGCAGGAGGCTCAAGCCCTAACAAGCAAGTACTGAAAACAGATGTGTGCCTACGAAGAAAACCCTTTTTCAGGGTTTTGTTATCTTCTGAGCAACACTGTTAGGCATCAGGCATGTCAGCCCTGTGACTCTGATCAGTTCTTGCAGCCTGTGACTTGACAACACAGGTTGTTTTAGGATTTCATTTTCAAAGGAGGATTTGCAGCACAAATCTGTAATTCAGTTAAGATTACACACAGCTTAAACCGGGAACCTGTATCTATCTATTCCTGTTCCCCATCCCAGTCACAACTTCTTTGACAAGTAGAGAAAGGGAGAAAGTGAGCATACGCACACACACAAACAACACACAACTCAGTGTGGGAAAGGAGATACTTACTAAGGTCTTCTGAGAGCTGAGGGAATTCATAAATGTGTTCACACGTGTTCCTGCTGCTGGGGATGCAGAAGCCAAAATCAAAGTCAAAGTTCTTCAGCAAGCGATCTCGGAAGTAATGTCTCTCAATCATTCGAAAGTTTGACACTGGCTTTTCTCCCACTGTGAATTCCACTCTGTATGCAAGAAGTAGGAAAAAATAGCTAAGACAACATACCTCTTGTAGTGTAAGATGGGTTCTCTCTAGTCTTTGACTCAGTTTTGTTATAAAATGTCAATCAACACTTCGTAAACATCTGATTCTCCCTTCTTTTCTATAACTCATACTCACGTTGCACCAACAGTCCGAAGACGGAGAAAGGCTGGGGTGAACTGGTAACGAACGAAGCGGCCTGCACTAGCGTCCAGTTCACCGTTGTCATCTTCATCCTCATCATCTTGCTCTAGAAAACACACCAGCTCAGAATTATTCTGCTAATAGCATACACATTAAGGTAATACTGGCTAGTGGGTGTATCAGGACAAGCTGGCTATTACTTATGCACTGAACGTATAAAGATATTTAATAATTGGTCTGAGACTCATACTAGCACTAGGTAATACAGAAAAGATCTGCTATGACAGTAGGCAGAGCTTGGTGGCTCTGGAGCTGAAAACACCCTCAACATCATAGGATATCCCCCCTCGAAATTGCCAAAGCACATGAAAGAAACTCCATATCATAACTAGCCAACAATGGATGATTTGCAGTTGATAATACTCCCTCATCTCATGGTAATCACTTCACAATTTTATGGCAAGTTTCTCAGCAGAGGTAAACTCAGTCCTCTGCTTAAAGGAGAGGAATTTAGTCCCCGGGATATACTGAAGGGCCTTTATGCTTGCTTTGCATAGGTCCCACCTTGCAACTTCTCAGCTGCCCGAGTCTCTCTGGCCTCTCTGCAATGCTAGCATGACATACCTGAAGCAGATGGCTTTGCAATTTCAAACAGCACTGTTCCAGTTTCAAGGTCCCGGATTTTAAACCTGGTGAAGTCAATGTTGTAAATGTTGTCCTCAGGTTTGCATAAATAATCTAGAAGAGAAAGAAAACATATAGTAGCATTTCAAAAGATCTCTGAGCAATTACCAAAGGAATTTCTTTTTGTGCTAGCTCCAGCCCGATAAGATACGTACTGCAAGTTGTTTTGCAGATGCTTCAGGAAAGCGGGACAAAATTGAGGCTAGAAGAAACAAAGGCACACTAGGAGCCAGGTAGCAGAGCAAGAAAAGGAAGGGATCAGGACACAACAGCAGAGATCAGCAGCCCGGTGACAAACAAACACCCTACCCCCTCCAACCCCCAAACTTTCTGGAAGTTGTAACAAAGCTGACTGCAGAAGCACACCGCGCTGCTGCAGCCACCGCGCACACTCCTCAGCCGCTTCCAACGCCAGCG